TCTCACCTCAACTTCCACATCCTTCATAGCCGCCTTTCTCATCATGCCCTTATTATTTTTATTCCTGAAGTCCACACATAAGCACATGCATGATACTCGTCTTTCGGAGTCTGACTTATTTTGCTTAACATGATCACCAGATTCTTCCATTTTCCTGCAAACAATGAAAAGTCATTCTTTGTGGTTGAATAAAACCATGTTTTCCTTATCCACTCATCCATTGATTTCCCCTTACCTTTTAACTGGTTTTTTTTTCTTTCAAATCCTTTTGCATCCCTAATACCTCATTTTGTTTTCAGGCTTGAACCTTTATTTTCAGAATGATGTTTGGCCTGGATATCTGTGTCCTCTCAAAATTCATATACTGAAATCCTAACCCCTAAGTAAATGAACTAGGTGAAAGACTTTAAGAAGAACTTAGACCCTGGCAGCAAACTCCTCATGAATGGGACTTGTGGCTTTATAGGAGAGGCCCCTAAAGAGCTAGGAGCACCCCCATTGCCATCTTTGACCTGAAGACGGGTCTCACCAGACAATGATTCTGCTAGAGCAGGTCCTGAGCATCCCTCCTGGAGAATTTTGAGACATTCCTGATATCTACAAGGGTCTTTATTATAGCATGCTGTAAAATGGCTTGAATGAATGCCCCCAACGGGTCAGCAATTTGAACACTTAATCCCCAGTTCCTGGTGTTGCTTGGGGAGTGTGATGGCTAATCTTGATTGTCAATTTGACTACATCCAGAATTGGCTAAAACCCAAGCAGCTGAGCCTGTCTGTGGGGGATTTTTTTGGAGGGAGAGGGGAGGGATTATTTGAAATGGAAGACCTACCCTAACTAACTCTGAGCCAGACATTCTGATAGCAGCTCATATGAAAGAACATAGAAGAAGTGTCTGTTTTTGACTACTTGCCCACACCTCACTCTCACTAGCAAGTTCATCTAACCTGCTGTCAAGGCATTCCTTCAGTAGTATTGGAGCCTGCTCCTTTGGGATTCCAACACAGACTAATAACCAGCAGCTCTCTAGGACTCCTCCCAGACTCCAGCACCCGATCAGGACTGCAGAGACATCTTCTGGAGAAGGAATGACTGACTACTGGATTCCTGGCCTTTCCCTCCTGAGACAGCCATTGTTGGACTACGCAAGATATATATTCATTCATTCTATCAGTTCTGTTCCTTTAGAGAACCCTGACTACTACAGGGAGACTTAGGGGGTGTGGCCTTGCTGGAGGTTTTAGACTTCAGGAGGAAAAAGTCTCGCGGCCACTTCCATTCTGCTCTCTGCTTTGTGCTCATGGTTGAGATGTGAGCGCTCAGCTTCCAGGTCCTGCCACCATGCCTGCAGCTTGCTGCCATGCCTCCTGTGGTCGTTTGAATGGAATTGGCCCCCATAAGCTCATAGGGAGTGGCACTGTTAGGAGGTGTGGCTTTGTTGGAATAGGTGTGGCCTTGTTGGAGGAAGTGCGTCACTGTGAAGTCAGACTTGGAGGTCTCCTCTGCTCAAGCTTCACTAAGTGTGACACTCAGTCTACTCCCTGTTGCCTTCTGATTAAGGTGTAACCAGCACCATGTCTGCCTGCACGCTGCCATGCTCCCCGACATGATGATAATGAACTGAACCTCTAAAACTGTAAGCGAGTTACCACAGTTAAATGTTTTCCTCTTAAGAGTTGCCGTGATTGTGTGTCTCTTCACAGCAATAGAAACCCTAAGACATTTTCTCAACCTCGTGAGCTTTTGTACCTCTGGAACATTAGCCCGAATAAACCCTTCCTTCTATAAGTTGCCCTGGTTATGGTTTTTAATCACAGCAACAGAAAAAAAAACAACTGGTACACTCAGCAAATGCACTGAGACAGATGCTCCTATCACACTGTGTGTTCTCTTTGTCGACTTCCTTCTCCCGAGGTTGTTTCTATGACTTACTCAGATGTAGGAGGCAAGAGGTCCTTATGCTCACAGATAAGTACTGGGGAACCATTGATGTTAAACACACAGGGTTGTTCCTTCAAAGGAAGAGATTTATAACCTGTTATCCTCTGTGGTTAATAGCCTGGTGAATTTTGCACTATCTCTGTGGCTGAGACCACACCAGATCCTCCCCCAGACCCTTATTATGAGTTTGTTTTTCTCAGTCAATCTATAGAACCCATCAAAGTGTCACATGAACATGACTACATTGAAACTTTGTAAAATACAACCTTTATTTAGCTTACTTTGGGCTTTATTGTGCACACAAGATTGAGTTAATTATCACTGGGAAAGTTTTACCAAATTGTGCTGTGCTTAAATATGTCTAAACTACTTAGAATCAGACTTACAAAGTTTGGACCAACACTAGCTACTTAGTCAATGTGTTGAACTGAACTGCCTTCTTGCCTCCCAAGGATTGTTACTCTGCTGTTCATGGTGGTCACAGAGAACCATACACATACTCATATTACTGTAGAGACTGTAAACTAGTCAGTCCACTGTGTACTCATACCATGATTTATTGATCCAGTTATAAAGCTACTGGGTGGATAGGTTTGATTGTTTGCCTTTTTCCTTAATTGAAGCAATTGGAAAGGAACCTGAATTGTGTCTTGGTATATTCATGCAAGAGAGTTCATGAGACTTGATACCCAAGGGTGCATACAAATTTTCAGCTTTAAGATAAAAAAAGAAAAAGTATCTCTTTCTGACAATACCAAATTCACTTCTACCAGGAATATGTTAGAGGTCATATTGGTTTACATTTTCATCAGTGGTTAATACTTTCATAGTTAATCTTTCCAGATAAAAGGTTATAAAATATTTTATTGAGGTATTTTACTCTGTGGCTGGAGATATGGCTCAGCTATTAAGAGCAGTTCCTGCTCTTAGAGAGGACCCAGACTTGATTCCTAGCATCCACATCGGGCAGCTCACAATTGCTAATACACCAGCTCCAGGGGATCTGATGCCCCCCTCTGGCCTTTGTACTCAAAAGGCATACACTAAACATAACCAAAATAACAAATAAATGAATACCACAAGAACAGAGGGATGAAATGTAGTTGGCAATACTCCTGTTCATTCGTGAAAACCCAACACAAGACATAGGTGACCTTGTTCATCACTGGAAAAGGAAAGAATGCCCATGTGTGAGAATTTGAGAAAAGTTATTATTCATGTTGAGAAAAATGAACCCAATTCCCACAGACACAGAAATAATTCCAGTAGGTTAAGTGGGAGTGGGGCTAGCTGCCAAGCCTGTCCCTTCTTCCCGACTAGTTTTTCTCCGAATGTTCACACCCTCTAATTATCTCATCCAGTTCCCAAGTGTTGTGAAGAAGCACCCCTTTCTTGTTCTGGAGAATGGATTCTTGGGGTGTTTTGAGCTCACCCAGTGCCCTCCTTGATGTTCAAAACCTAGGTAACCTGGAGAAAGAAACATCATGCCTCCCTTCTTCATTGTGCCCTTCACCAGAAGGCCCTCATTGGCCATACCCCTCACCACTGGGCCTTGGAGTTTGAGGAGGAGAGCACAGACCACTGCTCTGTTTCAGGCCCAGTTGTGACCCTCTAAAAACTGCATGCTGAATCCTGACCCCTAGAAGCCTCGGAAACATGACTGTGTTTATAGACACAGCCTTTACAGAAGTAATTAAGATAAAAATGAGGTCTTGTTGGTGTGCCCTAGTCCAATAAGGTTGCATCCTCACATAAAAGGGAGATTAGAACCCAGCTACAGATAGCAGAGGCAACCAATTGTATGAGGCCAGGAAGAAGCCATCTGCCAACCCAGGATAGAGGCCCCAGGAGAAACCAAACCTATCAACACCTGATCTTCAACGTCCAGCCTCCAGAACAAAGACACAACAGATTTCTGTCATTTACAACCCCACCCCAGTCTGTTGTATTTTGTTGTGGAACCCAAATAAATGAACACACCCTCCTTCCTTCTATCCCAGCAGGACTGAGTGGGGAGTGGGGGAAGGGCACCACTGGCCTTGGGGACCCAGATCTGACTACAGTGCAGGGCACGGTATCCTGGCCCAACTGGTCTCTCCACCTGTAGCTTCTCCTCCCCACTGTGGAGAGCATTTATTTATCCTGAACACACTGGGGATTGATTTCCCACAGAAACACCTTTGGCTCCCCTGCTCCACCTACCTAGCAGGAGCTAAACAAACTCCTTGGCTGGGCACCCGGCAAGCTTTCAGTTATGACCTAAGTCAGGGTTTCTCAGACATTCGTACCCAGCAGAATTGCCTGAAGGGCCAATTCTTGAACTTCACCCCCAAAAGCCCTCTTCAGTAGGCCTGGGGTGGAGGCCCCACAATTCACCTTTCTGGCAGACTTCTAGGTGAGGAGATCTGGTGAAGTAGCCCCGCCAGATCCCTCAGCCCAGGCCCCTGACTTGCTCTCTCTCCCCTGTACCAGGAACTACTTACTCTTCTGCACCCCATGCACTTGACATTCTGTCTACCCTGGTCCTGCCAGGAACTCCCTGCTGCCAAGTCTGACCCCATGGTTAAATCAGGAAACCTCCCAACTTAGGCTAAAGTTGAGAAGTTATGCTATTTTTAAAGGGGAAGCTTTACTGGAATCTGTACCAGGCCTGGAGGCCTCTCCTAAAACACAGCTATCTAAGCCCAGGCTCAAACACAAGGAAGCCCCTGCCATGGTCACCCTCTTGACCCACAGGTGAACGAAGTGGGGGAGGCGTTCTGGGAGAAGAAATGACTTGTGGAAGGACACAGAGCAGAGGCTGTGTTCCCACTAGCCCAGGCTGCTCTATCTGAGCCCAAGAGCCCTCCTCTCCCTGCCCTTTGCTCACTCCACTTTCTTGTGACCCCAGCTGGTCCCTGGCATTTGCAGCTAATGATGAAATAGTCTCAAGGGACCTCACAACTTGAAAGAAAAGGAGTCGGGAAAGAGAAAGGAATGAGAGCAGGAGGAGCCTGGAAGCTGAGGGCGGGGCCTCTCAAGGAACCTGCACACGTGTACCACCTCCGTTCCTTCCTCGGAGCGGCTGTAGGCCCAGGTGAGCCCTCGCTGAAATGAGCCAACCCCAGGCTTCCCTTCGAAATGGCCAAGTGCTTCAGACACAGACGGGTTCGTTAGCTGGTCCGTGAGTGAGTGCTCGCTACCCGCCCCTGGACACGGAGTTTCGGAGTTTCCGCTAGCAGACCGGGTCCAGCCAAAGCTGCTGCTGTGTACCACCAGGGCTGGGGACGGAGGGGGGTGGGTGCTGATGTGAGCCCTAGAGGTGGGCCACTGCCCTTTCCAGGTCTGTTCCAAGAAGCATTAGGACTCCATAGGGAACAGGTGAGACCAACACCTTGCGCAGCTGTTATCTCACCCAGACCCTGCCTGGGGAAAGGTGAGTGAATTCAGTGGGGGACAGAGCTTCAGGAATCAGGATCGGCAGCTGAGTTGGAGTTGCCCCGCCTGCTCCCATGTCCGCGGATGAACATCTGGACCCGATTCCTGACAGCTTCATCCTGCAGCCGCCGGTCTTCCACCCGGTAAGCTTAACACAGCAACTAATCAGCTGAATTCCAACTTGGGTGTGAGCGAGTGGGCTCCCGGGGTCTTTGCCTTTTCAGTTTGCCTCTTCTGGGCTGGGTGGCTAGAAGAATGGAGGTGGGGTTGTCGAGAGGGACACTAAGGACCAAGGGCAGCCGCTTCTCCAAGCTGGAAGTGCGGGCCTGGGAACCCTCCCAATCAGGGATAGGGGGAATTCCTCTGTCTCTCCTCCTGTTCAGTGCCCAGGAGACTCTGAAGGCCAGCAATGCTCTACAGGAGGCCAAACTCCCAGCAGGCACTACCATTAATGAGCACTGATTATTACTTTCTCCTGCCTGGTCCTCTCCTCCCTAGAGGCCTCCAGTCACTCGGTTAATTAACACATTCTGCCAAGAGCCTGGGAACTGGGAGCCACTGTGCTGCTGGACCCTGCAAAGCTGTGGGCACCGTGCCATGTGGAGAGCCTGGCCTCTGGCATCTCCCCAGGTGCCTGAGTAATGGGCTGAAACACCGGAAACCTCCCAGGTTCCCGTCACCTCTTGCTTCGGTCATCGGGAGGGCTCCTTGGGGTGGTCTGGGCTCTCTGATTTCCACTGGGTGTTGACAAGTCATACACGGAGGCTGACCCTGTGGACCTGCCCCAGGTTCACCTGTTGACATGTCTTCTGCGGAGCTCCCACTGTGCTCAGGTGAGGGCGGAGCTTGTTGAAGGGAAAGACAAGGAGGCTCCAGTCATATGGGGCTGTGATCTTAATGGGAAACCAGCTGGCCAGCTCCTCTCTACCAGGGGCCAAGGGCCAAGCTAGCATTGTGAGCTAAGTGCTCTGAGAACTCAGGAGAGGGGAGGCTGAAAGGTGTCCGGAGGGAGAACGAGGAAAGGGTGAGAGGGAACAGACCCAGAAAAAGAGTTGAAAAGTGTGTGCATACTTCAGGAAGGCCAGGCAACTGCTCTGTGAGGAAAGATGGGCCCCAGAGGGGGGCGGGGGGGGGGGCTGGTCACTCTTGGGGATCTCTGAAGAGAGTCCACGTCAGGGTCAGCTCGCTCCCAACTTCTCCATTCTTTTCTCCTCTCAGCTCCTAAACTCTGAACATTCGCTAGTCCTCAAGATGCTTCTTTCCCAGGTGGCATTCAATGGGTGACAAGCCTCAGAGGGGACACCGCGGCCTGTCAGTGCTCTGACAGGCCAGTGAAGCTAGGTTAGACTTCCCCAGGCATTGTGGTTTTGACATCTCTGCCCAAGAAAGGAGAGCTTTGAAAAGAACTGTGACGGTTCCTTGGACTAGCCACTTGATGGGATGTAGAATTGCCGTGGGAACAAATCTCTGGACAAGCCTGTGAGGTGTTATCTAGACTCCCTTAAGATAATGAGAGTCACCCTCAGTGTGGGGTGGTGCCATCCTGGGGGCTGAATCCTGGTCCAAATAAAAAGCATGCGTTGAGCTAAGCTGAGCTAAGCGCTAGCTTTCACTGCAGCCTGAATCCTGACTGGATACAATGTGACCGACCAGCTGCTTCAAGCGCCTGCTGCCATGACTTCCTCCTGTCATGCTGGACTGTACCCCTGAAGCTGTGAGGCAGAATAAACTCACCCTCCCTTCAGTTGCTTTTGTCAGGGATTTTGTTACAGCAATGAGAGAAGTAATTAATCTGGGAATATTAGAGAAAAAACGGGTTCTTCTCTTCAAGGACATTTTTCTCTTGCGGTTTTATTAGTTACTTTTTCTCATTGCTGTGGAAAAAAAAAATACAGCAAAAGCAACGTAAGGCAGGAAAGGTTGTTTCGGCTCCCGGCCATGGGAGACACATCCGCCGCGGCAGGGAAGGTGGTAGGAGGTGGCCACTCTCAACTCCAATGTCAAGAAGCAAGGGCCATGAATGCTTGTACTCCACACTGGCCTTCACCTTTTTATTCAGTCTGGGAGCAGCCTATGAAAAGGCAATGCACCCGTTTAGGGTGGATCTTCCCACTTCAAGTAACCTTACCTAGAAAATCCCTCAGAGATGTTCTCAAAAGTGTGTTTCTGTGGTATTTGTAAATTTCATCAAGCTAATAGTCAAGATTGGCTTCCCAGTGGGGAAGCCAAGTTCCCTGGTCTTTCCTCTCCACCATACTCACCCCTGCACACAGGAGTCCCTGGTTCCAACTCCAGTCGGCACACCGGGCTTCTCTCCCCTGTTCAGGTGGTTCCCTATGTCACAACAATTTTTGGTGGCCTGTATACAGGCAAGATGGTCATGCTGCAGGGTGTGGTCCCTCTACGTGCACGAAGGTAAGGGGGACTGTCTAGGATTTGGTACAGCCCAGATTTAGGGGCATCAATCTGGGGTTCCTCTCTACCTTCAGAATCTCTGTGGGTCTCTGACCAGAAGGACATCTCAAAAGCCACACAACACCCCCACCAGGTTTCAGGTGGACTTCCAGTGCGGGTGCTGCCTGCATCCTCGGCCAGATATCGCCTTCCACTTCAGCCCTCGCTTCTACACTGTCAAACCCCATGTCATCTGCAACACCCTCCAAGGTGGACTCTGGCAAAAAGAGGTCCGGTGGCCCGGCGTCGCCCTGCAGAGAGGTGCTAGCTTCCTCATCCTCTTTCTCTTTGAGAACGAAGAGGCGAAGGTGAGTACAAAGGGTAGACATCCAGCAGTCCAGGACGGCAGCCCTACACTTTTCCTTCTCTCATCCCATTTTCCCATGGCATTGTGATAAACGGCACTGTGGAGAGGGGGCTGAGGCTGCTCTGGGCCCATACAACAACAAGAAAGCACTAACCCCTGGATCTAGTGGGGAGAGGGCTCCATTGCACGGTCAGAGCAAGCACTTAGAGGACTCCTGCTTGGTGCCAGGCACTGGGCTAAACCCTTTATGAGGATGTACCCATTTATCCTCCCCATAAGGCCTGAGGGGGATACCTTCACAATCCCCTTACAGCTGAGGCAGCAGGAGACAGGGAGAGAGAACTTAATGCCCAGGCTTTGACCTTCATTATGATCTTAATAGAAGGATAATGAGACCTTCGGAAGGCTCTACAAGACAAGGCACTGGAGGAAGGGAAGTCCTAATGCATACAAATTATCCCCAACTTCCTGAGCCTTGGTTTCCTTGATGTAGATAGGAGGAGGGGAAGGAAGAGGAGAAGAACGGTGGTGGTGGTGGTGGTGGTTGCTGTGGACCACATGGCGACCATTGCTGCTTAACAAAGTTCCAGCATTTCAACATTGCAGACAGTTCTCTAGCACCTTTTAACTTTCACTTTTAATGATTCTCACTGTGTGTTCTGGGAGTTCCCTATGTCTTTTCCTTTGGGAAATTTTGTATGGGCTTTGAAGAATGAGAAATGTATAAAATGACAGCCTCTTTAAACAAAATGATTCCTAGGGAAAAAAATCCCCCCTACCGAGGAACCGTATAGCCTGATGATTCTGCACACAGGAACCCCATTGTGCCCTCCTGATTACACCAAGAACAGGAAAGTTAGAGATTTACTGAGGACACACTGGACCCCAAGGATGAAGTGCCTACAATTCAGATCCAGAGCCTGAGGCCATTAAGGGCCAGAGTTTAGTTAATAAGTCCAGAGAAAGCAGAGTGGTACAGTGTAATGGGAAAAGAGTGAGACATGAGGATCTTCCCTCCTAGGAGCGAATGAGGGGAACAGGCCCACATAGTAAGACTAAGACACAAAGGGGCACAATTAGGGGATAGCTCTGTGCAAATGCTGCACCATGCCCCTCCAGGAAAGAAAATTGCTCTTAAATTGTAGTGGAGTGTCTGGTCCCCAGAAGAATTCCTTTTCCCAAGGTCAGGCATTTAGTTAAGGACCTCCATTCCTTCAGGGGCTTGAGGAAAGTTCCTACTTGCTAAAAGCACTATTCTTATCTCTGGCAAGAGGAACTTGTGGCCCTTCCTTGGTATAAGAGGGCTACTGGTGGAGTTACTGAACCTTTGAGAACAATAGGCATTTAGATACTTGCTAAACATCACTTTTGTCTCAGGGAAAATGCTGTAATGAAGTTAATGGCCACTTTTGCCCCTGAATCATTGAGTCTGCTTTCAATCTCGCCTGTGGCTACACTATTGCCTTTTTTCAATAAACTGAATGGCAGCCAACCTGATTCACCCTCAGATCTTGTCCGTCTCCCCGCCCCCAACCCCCACCCCACCCCCAGAACTCCACATATCCTCTTTGGGACCTGAATTCTGCCAAAGCAGGTCTCCAGCAGGTAGTGGCAATGACAATGACTACATTGTCTAAGAAGGGAAGAGCTCTGTCATCGATAAAGAGCCTGGACAGTGCCCTGGTCCCAGTATCAGCTCTGCCACCTACCAGCTCCAACCCTGGGTAGATTACTTAAGTTCATCTGTACAATGCACCTGCCTTGCAGAGTTTGGGGGGAAAAAACAAATATGTAAAACTAGGGAGGCATGCTTGCTAGTGCCTGGGATGGATTATGCACACAGTGAACAGTGGGCTGCTCTTCAGCTGGGCTCTGTCTGCTTCTCCAGGTGAGTGTAAATGGACAACATTTTCTTCACTACCGCTACCGGCTCCCACTGTCACGTGTGGACACCCTGGGCATATTTGGTGACATTTTGGTGAAGGCTGTTGGATTCCTGAATACCAATGTAAGTTCTCTTGGAGTCAAGGCTGGGCAGTGGTGGCCTCTGACTTCTCCTGGTCTGGACAGGTCTGGGGCTTGCACACTTACCCCAGACTGAGAGACAGAGGAAGGTCTTCTATGCCCCGGATAACTGAGACAGAGGAAGTGCACAAAGGTGTCAGAAATGAATGGGGAGCGGAAGAAGAGAAGGTGGCCACAGTGAGGAAGCCCAGGAGCCGTAGATAAGACTCTTTCCTGTTGGTGGAGTCTGCTTGGCCCTGAGGGGGCAAAGGATTTGGTACATCAGGGTCCATGCAAGCTGCAGTTTGATAATGGATCCTATCTACCCAATTAACTTATTCAAAATTCAGCTAAATACGTGGTTCAGTGGTAGCGCTGCCCTGGCAAACACAAGGCCCTAGCTTCAATCCCCAGTACTGCCAAAACCAGCCCTGAATTGATGCAGTAAGTCTGAGGTGGGGCCAGGAACAGGAACGTTCAACACTCAGCTTTTAAAGGTGTGAGAAGCAGTCAGGGGCTTACAGTGGTCCCAAAGGCTCGCAGTTGTTTTTTCTTTCTTAACAGCCATTTGTGGAGGGTAGCAGAGAGTATCCAGTTGGATATGTGAGTTTCTTCCTTCTATTTTTTATTACATTTATGTGTGTGTGTGTGTACATAATATGTCTATGATGAGGGAAGCATGCATGTGTGGAGGTCAGAGAACAATTTGTAGGAGTTCCCGTCCTCATGTGAGTCCAGGGACGGATATCTGAGTCTTTGGGGAGCACGGCTGGACAACCGTGCTTAGACGCCAGCTGGCCTCTCTCCTCCCTGCACATGGTTGCACAAGGCCCAGTTGACCCCTTCCCTCACTGATGTGGATACCAGGAATGTGCCTGGCTCCCTTAAGTCCCTGGAGAGCCTAGATTTGTCTCTCCCCTCCTGTCTCCAAGGCAAGCTTAGGAAGATGGGTTGGAGGTATTTGGCTACCTGCAGGGGCCCTTGACTCCCATCAGAAGATACTTTCTATGGAGCTTTAGATCCTCAGATCAACCCTGCAAGATGGCTGTGGTTGGCTTCACAGGACAAAGACGGGAGATGAGACCCATGACCTTGCCGGACATGTGGGATGGCAGCTCCACTGTCCTTCCTACTCTTCCCTATTACTCAAAGATGGGCGGGGGGTATCTCAAGAGTCAAAGGATCCTCCACCAGGAGCCCAGTCACTCACCTGCTGCTAGGAAAGGCACAATCTCTTTGTGTCCCCCAATGCAAGCAAAGTAGGAAGACCTCCTTGCCCAGCAGATGCTAACCACCTCCCCTGCCTCTTTCTCTCCGTCAGCCCTTCCTGCTGTCTAGCTCCAGGCTGGTAAGTGAGCCTCGCTCTAGGTCTCTCCTGGAGGCAGAGTCCCGTTTCAGCTCCCTGACTTCCCTTTCTTTGTGGAGAACTTCAGCAGTGGGAGGGCGAGGCAGCTCCGGGCTGAACTCCGCTTTCACTGACCCTCTTCACTTACTCTGCACATGGGTATTTAATACTTCCCTGGGACTGGCCCAGTGCCAAGGCTAGGAGGTCCCCCCAGACCTCCAGTTGCTCATAGGTGGCAGAGTGACAAACCACTGCATGCCTGCTACATACAGTTCAGAGCACATCTGTGGTAGAAGGCACCAGGACACTGAGCACAGCCTGGAGGGGCCTGAGCCGGCTCTCAGCAGGTCTGCAGCAGGTGTAAGCAGGACTGAGTCTCCTAGCTGCAAGCCTATAGAGAAACTCACCTGCCCTGGCATTCCTGGGTCCCTGAGGGTAGCCTGCTCTGGTGAGGGACCCTGACACCACTCTGATCACCATCTTAGTCATTTTCTGTCTGTCAGGAGGTGCCCTGCTCACGCACTCTTCCTCGGGGTCTCTGGCCCGGGCAAGTCATTGTAGTTCGAGGATTGGTCTTGCAAGAGCCAAAAGAGTAAGTATTTAATTTTAAGAAGAAGAAAGAGACGGGCAGTGGTGGCGCACGCCTTTAATCCCAGCACTCGGGAGGCAGAGCCAGGCGGATCTCTGTGAGTTCAAGGCCAGCCTGGGCTACCAAGTGAGTTCCAGGATAGCCAGGGCTACACAGAGAAACCCTGTCTCAAAAACAAATAAAGAATGAAAAACTAAGGGAGGGAGGCAGGGAGGCAGGCTGGCCTCACGGTTAAGTTTCCAGCACCACCATTTAGCCCTGTATTACAGAACAGCAAAGAGAAATGAGTTAGCCCAGGTTGTAGAGACTGTGAATCGAGTTGGAGTTGGGAACAGTAGCCCCAGTTATGGGTGCTGCTTCCCTGTGGAGTGAACTAGCTTCATATCACAAGTCCCAGAAAAGAGCCTTTGCAGTTGAGACCCAAAGAGGAGATATGGCCTCCTACGTTGTCACAGTGCTTGGTTTAGGAAACAAGCTACCCTGGAAAGAAAGTGTGCGGTAGTGCTTGGAAGCCAGGTCCTAGAGGCAGTTCGAAAATGGATGCTTCCTGGCTTCTTCTCCAGTGGATGCTCAAACCCTGACCTGTAGCTTAGGACCATTTAGACTAGAGGTTTCCGTGTCCCCTAATGTCACCCTGACCCCATCCAGCAGAGCCCTAGACTTGGTAAGAGATTCCCTGAGATGCCCATCAAAACTCTGGAGCTAGAGAGATGGCTCAGCATTTAGAAGCACTCCCAATACAAATGTGAGGGCTGGTGTAGCTAGAGTTTTCCTGCCTGGCCCACAGTCAGGACAAATCTCTGTCGCCCACCAGTCCCACAGCCGCTCAGACCCAACCAAGTAAACACAGAGACTTATATTGCTTACAAACTGTATGGCCGTGCCAGGCTTCTTGCTAACTGTTCTTACAGCTTAAATTAATCCATTTCTATAAATCTATACCTTGCCACATGGCTCGTGGCTTACCGGCATCTTCACATGCTGTTTGTCATCCTGGCGGCTGGCAGTGTCTCTCTGACTCAGCCTCCCACTTCCCAGAATTCTTCTCCTCCTTGTCCCGTCTATACTTCCTCCTGCCTGACTACTGGCCAATCAGTGTTTTATTTACTAACCAATCAGAGCAACACATTTGCCATACAGAACATCTCACAGCAGGCTGGAGTTCAGATGCCAGCACCCCTGGAACAAGTCAGGGACACGCATAGCCCGCAGCACCTCTGGAGACAGACAGGAGTGCTGGGGCTTCCTGGCCTCTAGCCTCACTGAGAAGCTGGAGCTCCAAGCTCAGGGAGGGAGCCTGTTTCAAAGAAATAGCATAAAGAAATAGAGAAGGACACCTGACACCCTCCTTTAGCCCGTGTGTGTGTGTGTGTGTGTGTGTGTGTGTGTGTGTGTGTGTGTGTACACACACACACACAAAGATGTAAATGCTGTATATGTAATAATACTATCTAAGCAAATAATATCATTTCCATACTTATTTACTTTTCTACACAAGCAACTTACATGTTCTTTCATTTAATTCTACCAGCCCAAGATGGGAACAGATGAAGTGGCTTGTCCAAGACCAAAGCTCTAAAGTTAGAGCATAAACCCTGCAGCCTGGTCTTTACCACTAAGCTCTTGCAAAAGCATTAAACCACAACATGACACATAACAATAAATGTTAGCTGCTGCTGTGATCACAGCTGTCCCCATTTTCGGGGCAATAAACTGAGGCTCCAACGAGGTAATTACTCCGCCCCCATAGTCTTCCAGTCAGGAATTCAAGTATGATACTCACGTGCTGTCTATGCCTCTGTGCTGTTATGTGTCCAAGTGTTCCGCCCAGAGCCTGACACAGAAACTTAATTCTTGGAAGCTGTCTAATCCTCCAGTGGCTCTCCTGCCTCCAGCCTTCTCCTTCAGAGATACGACAGCCTGTAGGCAACAGAGGCTGATGCACTTCTCTGCCTCCTTCCTGCAGTTTCACCCTGAGCCTGAGGGATGGGGCCACCCATGTTCCTGTGACACTCAGAGCTTCCTTCACAGACAGGACACTGGCCTGGGTCTCCTCCTGGGGACGAAAGAAGCTGATCTCAGCCCCCTTCCTCTTTTATCCCCAGCGATTCTTTGAGGTAGGTCTGAGCCAAGTCATCACGTCTCTCCTTGAGCCTATTCCCATAGTAATCTGAAGACTGTGGGCTGGATCTTGGGATAGAGGAGCAAGCCAATACCCTGGGGCTAGGTACCCAGAGCCAGCTCCACAGAGAGAACGTCCAAACATTGGCCTTCAGTCCTCTATGCTGATGCCAGAGATACTAGGCCCAGAAACATAGGCATGGTGAATGCAGATGAGGACAAGCATCAGTTGTCTTTAAAAGCTCCCCTAAGATTCTAAAGGCCAAGAGTGATAGAACACCTGGATTTCCAATCCCAGCCCTTGGAAAGTGGAGACAGAAGGATCAGGAGTTCAAGACCAGCCTCAGCTACATAGGAAGCTGGAGGTCAGCCTGAGGTACATGAGACTTGATCTCAAGCTCCCTTTATGGCTCTAGTGTGTAGCCAGGGTTGAGAACATTTCCCAGGGGAAAGCAACATTGCAGATGGTGAACTTTAACCCCTGAACCTGACTGTCTCTGATCATTGTGCCCCTCAGTGGAGGGGGATCTCTATAGTAATACACCAGGGAGGGTCTGTCTGGAAGCCCACCACCCACTGAAGCTATTCTTACCAGGTACTGCTTCTGTGCCAGGAGGGAGGGCTGAAGCTGGCACTCAATGGGCAGGGGCTGGGGGCCACCAGCCTGGACCAGAAAGCCCTGGAGCAGCTACGGGAGCTCAGGATCAGTGGAAGTGTCCATCTCTACTGTGTCCACTACTAAGGAGAGCTCCAAGGGCACCCCAATCAGAGAAAAGGAAGGGCAGCTGCAGCCAGGGATCCACAGTGCAGCCTCACCCTGCCGTCCTCACCAGACCATTGACCTGTCATCACTGTGCAGGCCTAGTTCACATCACAAGCTTGAGTCTGCAAGAGCATCAGGGCCCCATGGCTAGGGAAGGCTTACAGCTCTGTGCCGCCTCTATCAGGAGCTTGGTGGCTCTATCTTCCTAGAGTATACTCAAGGGGGACAAATGTTATAACCTCACAAAGACACACACACTTATTGCATTTTAATCAATTCTGAAAACAAGGGCCCAGGTCAGTGTGGTGTCTCTGCACCCCTCTTCAGCATTCAAACTCTGTCTTGGCCCTCCTTCCGTCACTCCATGGGGCCGTGTGGCTGAAACCCTATCCAGGCCCAGCCACTGAGAAGGCAAATAGAGGGTGAGAAGATGAGCCCCAGGCCTATGATCAACACATACCTTCTACACTCACATTTCCATCTAAACTTGAATTTCATCCACAGTTGCTCGACAGTTTGTGAAGCCTTTGCCCAAAGTGACAAACACCGCAGTTGCTTGCATAGTTTTGGCCAAAGCAAAATAGCCACTTCCCAGGAAAACACACTGATAATGGGACCACATTTTAGGCACCCAACCGTGTAAACAACAGTAATCTCTCCTAAGATTATATTATAGTCTAGGTGGGTCAGAGGCAATACCATCTATGTTTGTATAATATACCCTGTGATGTTCACACGGTGGCAAGATGGTCGAATAATGAATTTCTCAGAATTTCTCCCTGTCATAAAATGATACATGACTGTATTTAGCAGAGCACATAGACCAGGGAAAAAAAGGAAGACTGTAGAGGGTTTGATTTGGTCTATTCCTGGAAGTCTGGGTTCACCTCAGAATGGACTTTAGACTCTATCTCTTGGAAATGTTTCTGTAATCCCATCTGCATGCCCACAGCTGTGTCAAGTCACTGGGTGGAGGATGCTGATGAAGGATTCGCCATTTTATAACTATAAGCAGAGAGCCATTTTCTTCCCTAATCCATGTACCAAGATTGATCATACATCTATCATGAAAAAAAAAAACTCAATAAATACCAGGGGAGAGGAGCTTTTCCTGCAAATGTGCCTTTATCATAATCCAGGGAAACTAGAGGCCAGAGAAAAAGATGGCTGGAAGATAACTCTTAGACACCAAGGCCCTGGATTCTGGGAAGAATCTGGGTCAAAGAAGAGATGGCAGGTTGGTAGGTTGAGGTAGAGAGTGTGCAGCTTTCATGGCAAAAACAAAGGGAGGGCAACATGCCACTTAGCCAGGAGCAAATCCTGTGGCTGCTTACATACCTTGATGGCTTTCTTACAGCTTTAAAGTAAACCCTAAAACTCTGTAGAGAAATTCTTTATTCTCCATACAACTTTTCCTCAACTTTCCTCAGCCCTTTATTATATACCACAGTATTTTTTAAAATAAACTTATTAAGGCTTGAAGAGATGGCTCAGCAATTAAAAGCACTGGCTGCTCCTCCAGAGGACCCGGGTACAATTCTTAGCATCCACATGGCAACTCACACCTATCAGTAACTCCAGTTCCAGAAGATCTGATGCCCTCTTCTGGCCTCCACAGATACTGCATAAATGTGGCACACAGACATACACAGGCAAAACACCCATATAGAAAAGAAAAATTAGCCAGGTGGTGGTGCATGCCTTTAATCCCAGCACTAGGGAGGCAGAGCAGGCAGATCTCTGAGTTCAAGGCCAGCCTGGTCTACAGAGCAAGTGCCAGACAGCCAGGGCTACACAGAGAAACCCTGTCTCAACCTACCAAAAAAAATTTTTTTAAATAAACTGGTCAGTTCCCACACATATATAATTCATTATTTGCATTAGCACCTCAGCAGCACTTATTAATATAATCATATTTACTTATTTAATCTACTAATGAAATAAACTATATTGAGAGAATTCTAATATACTGTCTTAAAATTTTTGGAGTGAAATTCATATGATGTTGATGAATCTTAATAAATACATTGTGTATTTTACTCACTAATATGTATTATTGTTTATAATTGGCCTGTCATTTTACTTATTTATATGTATTAGTGGCTTTTCTATTATTGTGATAAACACCGTAACCAAGACAACCTGTAGAAGGCAGGGTTTATTTGGACTTATGGTTCTAGAGGGGTAAGTTTGTCAAACAGCAGGCATGATGGCTAGAGTGGTAGCAAGATGAGAGCTCACATCTTGAACTATGCAAGCAGGTAAAAGGGAGAGCCAATTCAAAGTGACAGGAGTCTTTAAACTCCCAAACCCGTCCCCCAGTGACATGCTTCCTCCAACAAAGCCACACCTCCTAAGCCTCCCAAACAGCGTCACCCACAAAGGACCAAGTATTCAAACATCTGGACTATGGGGGATATTCTCATTCAAACCACCAAACAATGCACGTGTTAGACTTTTCACAGCTGTGACAATTTAAGAAACAATTTAAGGAGAGAATTTATATTGCCCCAGTTTTAGAGTTTTCCACACATCATGGTAAAGAGCCCGTGGAGGTTAGGGGACAGCTGCTCCCATCATGATAGCCAGGACCCAGGAGGTGAGGGTGGGGTGTGCCCACACTAGCTAGCTCGCTTTTTTCTTTTTGCTCTGTGGCTGCCAGCCTATCAGTGCCTACATTCAGGTCAGGTCTTTCATGCTTAGTAAATCCTCAGACATGTGTGGAAGCAGGCTTTACTTATCTTCCCAACATATCCCAACAGAGAATGAAGGAAGTTGAAATGAAATACTCAAAAGTTGACACAAAAGAAACAATAGCAGCTGGTAGATACTACCTTGCCTTCCAGATGGAGGCATTAAATCCTCTGGAACTTCTCATGATAGCATCTGTAGTACCCAGACCGCTCCCTTCTATAAACGCCTGGGGCAAGCCTAACTCCAGAGTTTGTCTTTAGAAGGCATTCATGGAAAATGGCACTTGCTGTGGAAAAATTCATTTTCCCTGCTGGACTGGTCTTTGAGACACAGGACGTCTGTGCAGGCGCCAGTCCTGCAGGGTCAGGCTCACCTGTGTCTGGTGTAGCAGAGGGTACTTGGGGACTTCCATGAGGTAATGAAGTACGGGGTATTCAGACTCAGCTAAAAGAGGAACACCCCCACACACACCCCACTCAGCTCTGTAATCCTGTCTCTCCTATTTCCTTCAACACATTTGTACTCCTGTGAAAGTGCAAAGTAGCCAGTTACAGTGGCAGAGGCAGGTGGATCTCTGTGATCCTGGTCTACATAGTGAGTTCCAGCCAGGGCTACAGAGAAAGAAAGACCCTATCTCAAAGAAAGAAAAATGTAATACAAAATACTGAAAGTGTAGTGTAAGGCCGAAGTGATGGCTCAGTGGTCAGAAGAGGTTCCTGATCTTGCAGAGAATTCTAGCTCAGTTCCCAGCACCCATATTGGGCAGCTCACAGCCACCTGTAACTCTAGTCCCAGGGGATCTAATGCCTCTGGCCTCCATGAGCAAATACACAAATGTACACAGAACCCCAACAGAAGCACACACATATGTAATATAAAAATAAATCTTAAGGAAATAAAAGCGCAGTGCAACTTTAGCAATCTGAACTCTGAAATCCCTTTCCATCAGCCTACAACCCTTGATTCACAGTGGTTCCAAGGACAAACAGCCTGAACTCAGTGGGGTGCAGCTGAGTCCCCCAACAGCTGGACTAGGGCAGGGAGTAAAATCTGGACTCAGAATGGACTTTGGACACTTATCTCTTGATAGTGCTTCTGTAATCTTCTTGATATCCCCAGGGCTGTGCCCGGTTACTGGGGACACAATCTCACACCCTAGGGGCAGGACATTTCAGAGCATGAAAAATCTGATGATGTTTTTGTGGGCCCAGTACCAATTGCTAAATGGTGAGTTTTTTCCTTAAAAATTGAAAAGGGTGGACTGGAGAGGTGGCTCCGCAGTTAAAGATATGTACTGCTTTTTCAGAGGACCTGGATTTGTTTCCCAGCACCCACGTCAGGCAGCTCACTACCGTCTATAACTCCAGTTCCAGGGAATCTGGTGTCTTCAAACCTCAGCAGACACCTGCACACATGAGGTGCATATAAACTCACAGGCACACACACACACACACACACACACACACACACACACATAAATAAGTTAGCCCCTTTTTTGTTGCAAAGGAGTTTCAATTACGTAATATCTAAATAAGTACTGAAACCAAAACACACACGTGTGCAAAGGTGAACAAGTGGCGTGTGTTACCATTGTTGCTTGTGATGGTGGAAATTGTTTATATGCCAACAAAAGAAGAAAGAATATATAGATTTTGATTAATGTCATTGAGCCACTAAAATAAGTAATTTTATAATTTTATATGCAGAGAGCAATTTTCACCCCTCCCGTTTGCTTTGTTCTCTGGGCATCCCCAGCTGGTCTCTTTCCTTGAGAGTTTTTCAGAAGAAAGAGTCTTGTGCATTTGATTAAAAACAAATGTCTTGCCGGGCCGTGGTGGCGCACGCCTTTAATCCCAGCACTCGGGAGGCAGAGCCAGGCGGATCTCTGTGAGTTCAAGGCCAGCCTGGACTACCAAGTGAGTTCCAGGAAAGGCGCAAAGCTACACAGAGAAACCCTGTCTCGAAAAACCAAAAAAAAAAAAAAAAAAAAATGTCTTAGGGTTTCTATTGCTGGGAAGAGACACCATGACCACAGCAACTCTTATAAGGGAAACATTTAATTGGGGTGGCTCACTTACAGTTTCAGAGGCTCGGTCCATTATCATCATGGCAGGGGTGGGGTGGGGGTAGGGAGTGGCATGCAAGCAGACGTGGTGCTGGCTACATCTTGACCAGAAGGCAACAGGAAGTGAACTGTGACACTGGGTGGTGTCCTGAGCATAGGAAACCTCAAAGCCCACCCCCACAGTGACACACTTCCTCCAACAAAGCCACACCTCCTAACAGTGCCACTCCTTATGAGTTTATGGGAGTCAGTTACATTCAAACTATCACAAGTTTTACTGGATCAGGGATGTTGCTCATTTGGCAAGGTGCTTGCCTAGTATGTATGAAGCCCTTGTTCCATCCCCCCGAAACTAAGCATGGGGGCACATACCTGTAATCCTAGTGTTTGAGAGGTGGAAGTAGGAGGCTCAGAAGTTATTAAAGGTCATCCTCACTACACAGGGAATTGGAGGCCAGCCTGAACTACATGAAAATCTACCAAAAACAAACAAACAAACAAAAAACCCCTCTGTTTCTCTGGTCCACATAGGAGCTATCCCCAAAAGAAACTCAAATTCAACCCCTTTTAAAATGCCGTGTCCACGGAGTGGAGAGAGAGCTCAGAGGTTAAGAGCACTCACTGCTCTTGCAGAGAAGCTGCGTTTGTTTCCCAGCACCATGTGTGATGGGGAAGGTGTCACAACCATCTGTAGCTCCAGTCCTAGGGGTTCTGACGACCTGTAGGTATGTTGCTATGACATACAGGTGCAAGTGAGAGGACAACCTTTGGGGGTCAGTATTCTCCTTCCACAGTGTCGGTCCCTGTTGTATATCAGAACTTTTCCCGAGGAGACGCTGCACACATGTCTGCTCACCCCAGATAAGGAGCCCACAAAAGACACTACTAAAGTCCAGCTTAGTGAACCAATGAGTTCCATTGGGGTTACAGGAATATAGGTTAGGGGTTATTTACTATAGTAAAATATTATTTTAAGGTATGTTACTTTTGTTTATATTCCTTTTATTTAACTCTATGAAGCTCTGTTACTGTGCCTGTCTAAAACACCTGATGGTCTAATGAAGAACTGGACAAGGCAGGAGAAAGGATGGGTGGGCCTGGCAGGCAGATATATATATATATATATATATATGAAGAAAACTCTGAGGAGGGATCAAGGAGCCAGAGAAGGAGGAGGACTCCAGGGACCAGCCACCTAGCTACACAGCAAGCCACGGAATAAGAGTAAGACTTACAGAAATAAGAAAACCAGAAAAGCCCAGAGGCAGAAGGTAGATGGAATAAGTTAAGGACAGCTAGTAAGAAAGAAACCAAGCTAAGACCGGGCATTCATAAGTAAGTAGAAGCCTCTGTGTGTGATTTACTTGGGAGCTGAGTGGCAGGCCCCCCAAAAAGAGCAAAACAACAACTTACAGGAGCAGAAATAACTCAGTAACAGCTGCATCACGAAGGCTGCATGATTGACACCCCTGCATGGTTGACAGCTCACAAAGATGGGAACCTGGAGCACACTGCACAGCCTGCAGGCAGCTCACTAGATTGGAAAGTGTCCTTCCCAAGTGACTCGGCTGGTCTAAACCTCTTCTAAGCAGTTTGGCTGGTTTCTACTTCTTCCGGGAAGCTGTTCTGGTCTCAGAGTCTTCTCTTCACTCGTCTGAATCACTTTGCACCTTTACTTATCTGAGTGACTCTCAACAGCTTTATTGCTTACTCTGGGAGGGAAGGGCCTAGTGAATCTAATCAGTTTCAGGGACTTCCTGAAGCTAGTTTTAATGATTTATTTGTTTTTCCTTTATGTGTATTGGTATTTTGCCTGCATATATGTCTGTGTGAGGATGTCAGATCCTCTGGAGGCAGTTACAGGCATTGTAAGCTGCCATGTGAGTGCTGGGAATTGAACCCAAGTCCTCTGGAAGAACAGCCAGTGCTCTTAACTGCTGAGCCATCTCTCCAGTGCCCCTGCAACTATTTTAAATTGTTGACCTCCCTGCTTAAAGAGTTTCCCTGTCAGATGAAATGTTTCAATTTCAGAGGAAATTGTTATACAACATTCCCAGGGATTGAACTCAAGTCGCCAGGCTTGGTAGCAGATGCCTTTAACCTCTAAACCATGTTATCAGTCTGAGACAGATAGGATAACCCAACATTTCATAAGGGTATTCAGCTAGGAGCTAAGTAAGCACTGTCAAATACTGCTAGGAATGTTGTTATTAATTCTAAGCTGCTATTGTGAGCACCATTCATGTGTACTTTTCTTTCAGATAACCTAGGCTATTGAGAGTCTGGCACATTTTACCATTTTATTGACAACTGTCAGATACTTCCTTGTACCAGCTACTTTGGGTGGTGTGATAGTTTGAATGTGGTTGCCCTCATAAGCTCATAGGGAGTGGCACTATTAGGAGGTATGGCTTTGTTGGAGTAGATATGGCCTTGTTGGAGGAAGTGTGTCACTGTGGAGGCAAGCTGTGGGGGCTCATATATGCTCAAGCCATGCCCAGTGTCTCAATTCACTTCCTGTTGTCTGCAAATCAAGATGTAGAACTCTCAGCTCCTTCTCAAACACCATGCAAGGTCTGCCTGCAAGCCACCATGTCCTGCTATGATGATAATGGACTAAACCTCTGAACTGTAAGCCTCCCCAATTAAATGTTTTCCTTCATAAGAGTTGCCGTGGTCATAGTGTCTCTTCACAGCAACAGACCCTAAGACAGGTGGAGAGTTGTCAACCAAGCAGCCCTCTCTGGGTAATGGGTCACCACAATATGGCAGTCCAGGCATATGGTGACTTGAAGGAGCTAAACTCCAGCTGTGAGGAACACTGCAACCTCAGCTGCTGGAGCTACAGCTGCCACTACAGGAGGCCTTGCTCCAGGGATCTCCCAGAAAGCTTGTGATTGGTCCTTATGCAGGGACAGTGATTGGGACTGGGTACCATTCGGTGATGGGTGGGAATTTTGAGGTATCCACATGTGCCTTGCCCCTTTTCTAGCTACAGAAATAGCCTGTTTTCCCGTCTTTTCAGGACAGTTGGGAGGCCTTTCTCCCTGCCATAATAAAGTCTCTCACCAGAAATAGAGCTATATACACTGGAGGCGCAAGCGCGCGCACGCGGGGAGGGAGGGGGGCCGCCTTAGGGCCCTAACACCTGAAGTTCCAAGACCTGACACCAGGGGGCAGAAGAGTTGAAGCATTCCAGAGAAGGCAGAAACTTCAAAATGCCTTGGACAGCTAGCTGGTCATGGTAGTGCACACCTTTAATTCCAGCACACAGGAAGCAGCAGAATCAGACAAATCTCTGTGAGTTCAGGGCCAGCCTTGTCTACATAGTGAGCTCCAGGTCAGCCACAGCTACATTTTTGAGTCCCTGTCTCAAAAATAAATAAAGAAGATTTTAAAAGCAGCTATAAATGGCAGAAGTGTTGAGAAGGCAAGAGACAGCAGAGAAGCTGAGGCTGTTATCAAAGACAAGTGATTTTGAAGAGTCATTTGTGGAATCCAGGCCTTTGAGAACTTTCCTAATTGCTAGAAAGTACGGTGGAGACACCAGGGATCCTAACCCTTATGGCTCAGAAACTGAAACACTAGCTGTTGTGTGTCTGTGGCCCACAGCGCCCATAGCAGTCACCCTCTATTGAGAGCACTGAGCCTCTGGCTCTGATTCTCAAAGATTAGAGCTATCTGCCTCTAGACTTGGAGACTGAGACGCCTGTGAGCCTCTGAAACTCAGGATCCCCAACACTAAGAGCTGGATCTTGCCTCTCTGTGATGTCTCTCAGAAAAGAGCAAAGGACACACACACACACACACACACACACACACACACACACACACACACACACACACGCCATTTGTAACACCAAGACCCCGGGTGTCTTAGTGTTCTCTCACTGTGCAGAGATACATGACCACTGCAACTCTTATGTCGGATCCTGCCCAACTATCAAACTGTCCTTAAAGAGAGGAGTGAGGGTTAAGAAATAATAGATATGAAAAACAGAGACATAAGAATAGCATCAGGAGGGCTCTGGGTCAGTATAACAGTCACCCCAAGTTTATTCCTCAAGAGCTTTTTATACACCAGCAAGGGGAGAGGCAAAAGACTTCCCCCTCTCAATGACACAATGGTTCAAGGTACAAAGTACAGATAAGTGTAAACACTTCCTTAATTCTCAAAACATCTAGTAGCCACACCTTATGGTAAAGCATCCTATAATTAGGCCTTGAAGGATAAGATACCTGGTAACCATGCCTTTGGCCAAAACTTCCAATTATGCAGCCTTGCGGGCCAAAACAAGCTCAGACTCTCTGACCTTGAGTCAAGATGGAATAAGGCCACACTATAGAGTCTCTGTGGGTCCCCACACTTTTATAAAGGAAAACATTTAATCAGGCCTTGCTTGGAGTTCAAATGTTTAGTCCATTATCATCACGGTGGGAAGCATGGCAGCTGAGAGTTCTACATCTGAATCCACAGGCAGCAGGAAGAGAGAGTGTGACACTGGGCTTGATTGGGCTTTTGGAACCTCACTCCCCAGTGACACACTTCTTCCAATAAGGCCACACCTCCTAACCCCTCTCAAGTAGTACCAATCCCTGATTACCAAGCATTCAAATATATGAGCCTATGGGGGCCATTCTTATTCAAACCACCACACCAATGTATCATTAATTTTTATAAATATGCCTATGTATCTAGTTAGAATTTGAATTTCACAGTTATACTGCGCATGTCTGTTGAAACTTGTTTCTTGCCAATTCTTTCAAATTTTCTATATTTTTGTGTTGCATTATCAGTTCATAGAAGATATGCATTTTTTAAGGTTTTTTTATATGTATATGGTTGTTTTGTCTGTACGTATGTCTGTGTGTGCAGTACCCATGGAGGATAAAAAGGGGTGTTGGATCCTCTGAAACTGGAGTTACAGATGGTTTTGAGCAGCCATGTGTGTGCTGGGAACCAAACTCAGGCCCCCTGGAAAAATAGCCAGTGCTCTTAACTACTGAGCCATCTCTCCAACCTCAAAGACATGTGTTTTGATCTCCCACTTTGATGGCAAATTGTTGATTTCCCCTCATAAGTGGCCAAGAACTCATGATCTACTTTGAGACTATTAAATGCAAGTGAATTTAGAATTAGTATATACTTAAGTTGAAACTTTAATCAGGACCTTTTTATTTTCTCTGTGTAGTAATCATTTTGCCTGAAAGTCTGTATTTTCTTCTGTTTTTTTAGAACTTTTTATCACATTTACATATGTAGTGAATGCAGACATGTGTGCACCAATGCGATGGTATATATGTGGAGGTCAGAGAACAACTTTTCAGAGTTGGTTTGCTCCTTCCACCATGTGGGTCCCAGGGATCAAACTCGGGTCAACAGACTTGGTAGCAGATGCCTCTCCTTTCTGAGCCCTTTCCATGGCCCTGGGTTGCTTTTTCTCATTGGACAGCAGAGGTTTTGTTTGGTTCTCTTGTATTTGGTTATTCTCCTTCTTTTCCCCTCCATTGTTGGTTTAGAAGCCCTCAGTGTGTCCCCTTCACCTTGTGCCACACTGGGGTGGGGGGCAGGGTGCATCAAGATATCTGCCCTTTGAACTCGGATCCGGGTTCCTTGGGTTTGGGGAACTTGAGCACTGGCATGAGACACTAAGGAAGGAACCTGTGCCAAAGAAAATTATTCCCTCGATGCTGGGACTTGGAGAGCACATGTGTGTTCTGTGTGAGATATGGATACGGCAGGGGAAAGCTGCCATGGAGCGAGGTGGTATCTGACCATCCTGTACCCTGACTCGGGCTGTAATGGACAAGATGTCTGCAGACAACCGGCAGTGGAAGGCAACATCTGCAACCTAGTGAAGGCATCGTGGCCCTGCGGAGGAACGGCAGCTGGCCCCAGCGGAGAATTTCTGAGGAGCCCGCAGAAGTCCCCTGGAACAGTCACTGTGAATATCTGCCAATCCCAACCAAGAGTAAGATCAGTTTCAGGGGTCTGGAGAGACGGCTCAGCAGCTAAGGGCACTTGTTGCACTTGCAGAGGATCTGAGGCTGGTTCCCCACAGGACAGCTCACAACCACCTGTAACTCCAGTTTCAGGGTATCCAGTGCCCTCTTCTGGCCTCCACAGGCACTGTGCACACATGGCACACATACATATGTGCTAACACCTATACACATAAAATAAAAAATCTTTTTTTTAAAAAAATCAACTGCAAAGGTGACTTGCCTCAGTCCTGGGATGAGCACTAGGTAACAGCTGTATCAGATGCCCCCAAAATCCCTAAGGTCTGAAAGCAATGTTTGTACCATGTGACTCTGAACCATAAGACACAGCTAATTGACTTAGTAGAAACAACTTGACCAAAAGGCAGTCAGTGTGTAGGCTGAGCTCTGTAGTGCACTGAGCCAATCACATTCTCTCTTGGGGACTCAGGGTTGAGCGTGTAAGCGATAATGAGCTGAGGTGGGAAGAGAAGGGCAGGTGGAAATACAGGACTAGTGGTGAGAAAGCAGGAGTACTGAGGAGGAGGAACAGCTAAGGCAGAAGGACCTGGCGCTGCTTGATTTTTCTCAATGTGACACAAGCTGGAGTCATCTGGGAAGAGAAAACCTCAGTGGAGAAAATGCCTCCAGGAGATTGGCATTTTCTTGATTAATGATTGATGTGGGAGAGCCCAACCCACTGTGGGTGGTAACACCTCTCAACAGGTGGGCCTGGGTTGTATAAGAAAATAAGCTGAGTAAGCCATGGAGAGCAAGCCGGTAAGCAGCAACCCCCCTCCCTATGGTCTCTGCTTCTGTTCCTGCCTTGAGTTCCCATTTCAGCTTCTCTCAATGGACTATGACTAGGGAGATGTAAGCCAATAAACCCTAGATTAAACACAGAGGTCAGGCAGTGGTAGCACACACCTTTAATCTAGCACTCGGGAGGCAGAGATCCCTTTGGATCTCTGTGAGTTCAAAGCCACCCTGGACCACATGAGATTAATCCAGTCTAAAAGAGAAACAAAGCCAGGCAGTGGTGGCACACACTTTTAATCCCAGCACTAGGAAGATTGAGACAGGAAGTGACAGCTGGGCGGAGAACGGAATACAAGGTGGGAGGAGACAGGAGTTTGGCTCCTTTTGGCTGAGGACTCAGAGGCATTCAGTCTGAGGAATCGAGGAGACAGGATCTCGCTTCCCTTTCAGCCTGAGGCTTCAGTAATGGTGAGAAGTTTCTTTAGTGGAATCTTCCTTTGTCTCTCTGATCTTTCAGCATTTATCCCAATATCTGGCTCCGGGTTTTTATTATAAGACTGATTAGGACTCATACAACACTTTCCTCCCCAAGTTGTTTCTGGTCTTTATCACAGCAATAGACACCTAACTAGAACAGACCTTGGAAGACTTTAGGAAGAGCAGTCAAATATATCCTGAATTTCTCTGTGGAAAGGGGTTGTACTAGGGATTGAACCTAAGACTTCATACATCCTAGGGTAGCACTCTTTCCACTGAGCTACAGTCCCAGACCTGGAGGATTTGTCTTTCACACTCCACTGAATAGTCATAGACTCCAGCTCCTGAGTCTCAAGGTGCCATGGTGGATCAAGTTCTAGGCCACTCAAGCCCTGGTTATCGGAGGTTTCCATTTCTGCATATCCAGACTGTCTCCTTTGGCATACTGCAATATCTGGTATACCACAGAAATGCCCTTCATTTAATAGTGTTGGACTCTGTTTTCTGCCGTGCAAAGGGTGCTACAGCAAAGAGAAAGAACCAGCAGGAAAGGGTGTTGCCCAGAGCAGAGTCGAGAGCTTCTCTCCAGAGACTTCACACCAAGTAACTACTGCAGCATCCAGTCAGTAAAATTCCCTTCTTGTGCTTTATTGTGGGCTGTGAAAATAAGCCTAATTATAAAACAGTAGAATCTAGGAGTCAAACTTCAACCCTTCTAGCAAAAGAAGAACCCCTAAGGCTGGGTGCTCATTCAACTCATTGCTTCTGTTTCTTGTTTCTGGAGAGCATGACTCCAACGAGGCCCATGGCTGCCAAGCCCACTCCAGCAATGCCCGCCATCTTGACAGCTTCTCTGACCTGCAACAGAGAAGGAAGTGGGTCAGGTTCTGTGTTAAGAATGTGGGAACAGGCTGTGCATTGAACAGGGTCACTCAGTTCGTGGCACCTCACATGCCCCCTTCACTTCCAGTGGCCAGACTTGAGAACCGACAAATACTGGCAGGGTCAACAGGAGAAGAGGGCTGGGAGGGAAGAGAAATGGACAGAACTGGCTGGCCTTGGATTTACCTGGACCCAAAACGGTAACCTGAATTCAGCCCTGGACTATTTCAAGCATAAAAATCTTTGTAAGGCGTCTATGGAAAGAGCAGTGAGATGACAGCAGGATGGTGAGGATCCTGGCCAGCCAATGGGCGAGTGTGAAATCAGGAAGAAATTGAGAAATAAAAAAAAAAAAATCTGACCTTCATGATGCAAAGACCTCTCACCTCGTGCCATGTTTCCAGTGTCTGGGGCCGCCAGGTATCAAGGTGTTCCCTTTAAAGGGTTGGGGTTTTATTGCTTTTGCTGTTTGATAGTTGTTGTGTGACGTTTTCATCATGTTCTGACAAATAAAGCTTGCTTGGAATCAGAGGGCAGAGCTAGCCACTAGCCGACCAAAATTAACCACCAGGGTTTTGGAGGACTGTAGACAGATAGGACAGGAAGTAGTAAGGCAGAGTGGAGAGGGATCTCGGCCCTTTTGGAGGAAGGAACAGGACTTGTAGCTTCTGCTTCTCTGATCCTTCAGGTTCTTACCCGATATCTGACTCGAGAACTTTTATTGACATGGAATAATTAGACTAACGCTTAAGCTAGTTTTTCTCTTGTAATCAGGGTCTTTCTATGTAGCGCCTTGAACTCAACATCCTCCTACCTCAGCCTCCTGAGCGCCAGGCTTAAAGGCATGACACTACACACAGTTCTTTCTTTGTATGGAATCTGGTCCCTGCACAGAGGCCACAGTCAAGGCATAGTTGCCCCTATTCCACAGCCCTCCTCCTTTCAATCCTTTTTTTTTTTTTTTAAGAAAAGGTCTCATGTAGCCCAGGCTGGCCTCAAACTCGAGCTCACTATATAGTGAAGGGTCTTAGAGTTACTGTTGCTGTGATAAAACACCCTGACCAAAAGCAACTTGTAGAGGAAAGGGTTTATTTTATCTTACACTTCCAGATAACACTCGATCCCTGAGGGAAGTCAGGGAACTCAGCCAGGGCAGGAACTTACACAGAAGCCATGGAGGAAAGTTGCTTACAGGCTTGCTTCTCACAGCTTACTTGGCCTGCTTTCTTGGCACCTGGCACCACCAGCCCAGGGGTGGTAATGCCTACAATGAAGTAGGCCTCCCCCCATCAATTATCAATAGAGAAGATGGACCACAAGCTTGCTCACAGGACAGTCTGGTGGGGGCATTTTCTCTTGAGTTTCCCTCATTCCAAAATAACTCTAGCTTGTGTCAAGTTAATATAAAACTAGCCATCACACCAAGGATAACCTTAAGCTCCTGGTCCTCTGCCTCCACCCACCATGTATTACAGGTGTGGCCCACTGAAGCTGACTTTCTGTTCCTAAATTCCGCTAGGGATGGTAGTGATGTACCACAGGGGTGAAGCATGTCTGACTTGTGCTGCAGAGAAGGGAAACATCGCAAGAGAGAGGGGTGTGGGGAGATGAACATTTGTCAGATTTCACTCTCCTAAAACCCAACTGAAAACTAAAACAAAAGAGCATTTGCTTGGGCTGGGGAGGTAGCTCCATGGTAGAGCACCAGCCTACCAACAGGAGAACATTAAGTTCAAATCCCCAACACCACAGAGATTTTTCTTTTTAATTTGGGGCATTTCTCTTTGGTTATGAACCTAGCCTTTATGGCTGAGCCATCTCTCCAGCCCTGGAGGCATTTGTTTTAAGCACAATTCAACGAGGACAAAGAAGCTGGGGAGTTAACCCTACTTAGAGAAAGAAATTCCTAAAAGGATCCAACTGACAAGCCCAGGGTCTTCTTGGAGTGAACAGGAGAGAACATGTCCACCATTTCCCTGGACTGCCTCCCTGGACGCCAGCAGAGGTATGAACATTGGTTCTCTGGACAGGGTAAAACAGAAGCTCTCGGAGGTGGGGGGGGGGGGGGTCTACAAGTCTAGACACATTCGAGGGTGTGTCATACCACAAACAGGGCACTGAGTGACTGTGCGCATGTTCAGTATGAGCCTCCCCTTCTCTTGCTGCTCCCTGAATAGCATCCTCCAAGCAAGCCTGGAAAACTTTTCTGGAGAATCTGACCATGACAAGTAGAAACAGTGGAAGATTTGGGTACTGAGCACTCTCAAACAGTGCACTGGGCTCATCGCACAATGAAACTCAACATTAATGAAGCCCTGCCCTCACCCCCATTCATTGGCTCCTTCCCTGGTGCCTATCTTCTGTATTCCTGGTCTTCCCTCACTGTTAACCTTCTAGTTTGGATGAAAGTTTGAATGGTACCATCAACCAGAGAGGTCTGACTGCTGGCTAGCCTCGAGCCATGGTGTTACAGGGCTACCTTGCTAAGTATCTAGCTGGGGAGATGGATCAGGGTGTAAAGTGCCTGCCTTGTAAACACAAGGACCTGAGTTTGATCTCCAGAACCCTGTCAAAAGCCAGGTGTGGGGGCATGCATTTCTAGTCCCAGCAATGGGAGATGAGACAAACTGATCCCTGGGGCTTGCTGGTCAGTCAGCTCAGCCCAGTTGACAAATTCCAAGCCAGTGAGAGATCCCGTCTTTTTCTTTGTTTGTTTAAAAAAGAGGGATAGTGCCTAAGAAATGACACTGGAGGTTGACTTTTTGCCTCTACATATACCCAGACACACAGGACACACACACACACACACACACACACACACACACACACACACACACACACACACCTCTATCTAGTGTTTTCCTTGCTGTTCTGTATCAGGAGGGGTAAAATGGTCTGCAGTAATGGAGGAGTAACATGACCCTCATCCCTTTCTGAAGCTTATGTGAGAACAATAACAAAATAACGCTGATACCACTGGTTCAGATAAAAGATACTTTGACAAGGCACACAACAATGACTCCACTGTTCGTGGTCACACTTTGTACACAAAGAGAGTGATCAGTATATGAATACAGTATCTAGTTAGTTCTGGTGGTGATAAGGTGGTATAGTCAGGTCATACAAACACACATACATAAAACTTTTATATATGCATTTAACAACATGCTACGATAGCTTGGTGACAGGTTATATATGTAATTTAAAGTTTGATATAGGTAGACTGAGTTCTGCCTGCTGGTTAGAAGTCCCTTCTTATGTGAGAAAATTAACACTTGTCCAAAACTGCCTGAAGGTTAAGGTGTCACAGGCAACATGATGCTGCAGGTCCTGTTTCTGTTTGCTAAAAGAATGCTTTCACAGACCAAAGTTATTGTTATTTACATTGTCTATGTTTTTTTTTATTACTATCTGCCAAATGTTGGAACCTTATTTTTGCTGCAAAGCTCTCTGTCCCTGCAATTTCTACCCCTATAAACATGCCTAACTAAATTCCCTTTAATGATTAAGGAGCTCAAAGGCCACATAAGCAGGAGGTATAATGCTGCTTATTGTTGTGTAGTGCTGTGTGTAAATAACATTTCACACATATAAGATTGTTTTTAAAGGCAACGTTTCTTGGTAAACTGTTGTTATGATTGGTTGCAGATTAAGAAATGCCTCAGGCACTAGCACACCTCTGAGGGCGTTTCCAGAAAGGATTAACGTGGGAAAATTGCCCCGAATGTGAACAGCACCACTGCATTAGCTGGAATCCCGAAGAAAGCACGCTGAGCCCCAGCATTCCCTTCCCTCTGCTTCCTGACCTGCCACTGTCCCAGCAGCTAGCCCTCAAGTATCAGCCAAAACCAACTGCCCTCCTTAAGGTGCAGCTTGTCAGGTGTTTGGTCAGTGCTAAGAAAAGCAGCTAACACAACGATCATGGAAAGCATGCCACCCAAAGGGAGTAAACCAAGAAAGTGAAGGATGTGAGCAATGCAGAGGACATCACATCACAGACCCTCTAGCCCTGCTTCCTTTCACTCAGTTACGCCATGTCCCCTGCAGCTCTCTCTGAGACAGCGTTAATGAAGAGCCTTCCTATGACCTTGAACTGGCTCTACCTCTTGACAGGTGCAGGATAAATTTATGGTCCTCTTTAGTGCCTGCCCTGGTTCCCTTGGCATTCAGGCAAAGCCAGGTAGGTCACGTGGTGTAGAGCTTCCCACACACCCCTGAAAGCCTGTAAGACAAAGAAGTTCCCCTTGCTCTCAGGAGCTGAAGGGAACTGGGGGCCTCTAGGTCCCATTGGTGACCCTCATGGTTGTCTACGCCCATGTTGTTACTGCGCCCCTGATATCCAGGGATTGAAGACTCTCCCTTCTAAACTCCATTGTGCCGTCTGTAGTGCACAGCTCCATCTCTCCTAAAGCTCTCTTGCACCTCAGCCTGATCAAGGCTACCTGTGGTCGTGAGGCTCTCGCTTTCTCTCCTAATAAAGCTTTTCTGAAGGGTAACTTCAAGTCAGCTCCTTTCTAGGAACTCTTGCCTGTCTCTTGCCTTCTAACAGATAAAATCATTAGTGCAGGAGAGAAGTACAAGGGTTCTCAGTGCACCGGGAAAGGATCAGGGCTGATGACCATCAGGATCAAATAGGACTCAGCAACAAGTGTTTCTTACTGTGTATCTGTGTGTATGTCTCTCTCTCTGTGTCTCTGGTACGTGTATCTATCCATGTGTGTTTGTGCATGTATATGCAGGATGTGTGTGTGTGCGTGTGCATGTGCATGTGTGTGCGTGCGTGCGTGTGTGCGTGTATGTGTGTGTGTGTGTGTGTGTGTGTGTGTGTGTGTGTGTGTGTGTATTGCTGGTTATTGAACCCAGAGCCTTTAGCCTTTATGCCAATAGACAGACTGAGTACTGTCATCCCCCAGATCCCTTCTATCATGGCATCATTTTCTGGTTTTCTTTTTTGTTGGTTTTGTTTTGTTTTCTTTTGTTTTTCGAGGCAAGGTTTCTTTGTGTAGCCCTGACTGTCCTGGAACTCTCTGTAGACCTGGCTGGCCTTGAACTCAGAGCTCTGCCTGCCTCTGCCTCCCAAGTGCTAGGATTAAAATGTTCAACACCACCACAACTGCAGTTACCCAAGAACGAATGACATTCCTCTTCTATCCCTGCCTGCTTCCTACCCCAGAGAGGCTGTTTTATGCTCACTGAAGCCAGACTGTGGCTCAGACCCTTGGGAGTGCTCAGCAAATACTGGCAATATTGCCTTCCTCATCCACTTAGAAATGTGCTGCTCCTCTATGTCAATCCCACTTGAAAATGATATGTTAAATAGCTGATGAACAGTATTCAGCTAACTGATGAAAGAAACCAGGCCCATTAGGAAGCTACCTAATGTCTCACTGTAGAGAAGAGAGACCAAACAACAGTCAGCATGTGAAAAAGCTGAGACTGTCCCTGTCAGCAAATGCCTCCCAACCAAGTCACAGTGGCCCTTCAGAATGGCCAGCAGCCAAAACCCTGGATGAGCCAAGCGAGAAGAGCAAGCTCCAGAGACTGTCTCTGCTACTGTCATTTATCAGCTTCATTTCCTGAGTCAGCCCTGTGAGGAGTATAAGGATTCTCCTCTCTAGTTCACATGAAATCCTCTGAGATCAGTTCTCACAGGTTTTATATCAAGTGGGGAGCCTGACTAAATATGTCCTCCAAGATCACACAGCTAGTAAAAGACAGGGCCCAAAGGGCCAGCAGGGAGTGGTTAGCTCAGTGATCGAGGGCCTACCTACCATTGGCAAGACCCTGGGTTCAGTCCCTAGCACTGAAAGTGGAGGGCCCCAGTCTATTTGACTCCAGGAGTCCCTGCTCTCCATCCCCACATTAGCCAAGTAGAAAGAGAAAGGATTGCCACACACAGAAACAAATAACCACACAGACCTTAAGTTCTCACCCATGCAAAGCCAAGTGTGGTCGCACTTGCCTGGAATCCGAGCACTTGGGAAGCTAAAGAAGAAGCCTAAGGGTTCAAGGCCAGACCAGTCTAAGCTGCCCAGAGAGACCCTGTCTCAAAAGAGAAAATGGAGAAATGGCAGGACCCCCTCTAGGATAAGTACATTATAATCTGTTGCCTGCTAAGTGAGGCTGGTTAAAGGAACCCACACATCAAATCTCTCTGCCACTCACCAACACAGCTGCATCTGACTGCCAGGAAAACATGGCACAGGTCTGAAGACTCAAAAAGATTGGTTGGGTGAAATGAATGGCCATAGCCAGATGACTTGAGTTCTAGAAGCTTCTGTTTCCTCATCCACAAAGTGGGGCTATCAGAGCGTCCCTCCAAGGCTCTAAGAGCATCATCACGGGGTGGACTGGTCATCAGACCCTATGTGCTGATCTGAATTGTCATCTCACCACCCTGCCTGACTCCCCACCCTGAGCACGACACTCTCAGGGACAGGAAGCATACACCTAGGCTAATTTTGTCCTGTTTGTGACTCTGTCTCTACCCACATCATGTCCAGTCACTGTCAGCTGGGGAACTGATCTGGCACCTAAAGTCAGGTACAGGGGCTGAGGACGCACCTGGTCACTGCGGGCAACTCCATAGCGTAGTTCATTCACAAAGTGCTCACAGTTCTCACTGGTCAGCTTGTAGTGAACCTCCTGCCCCACCAGCTCCTCAGCCCGCTGGATGATCTTGCTTAGAGGCAGCGGGGTGTATTTGCTGTCGTGTTTGTTATTGACCTGGTACTTGTCCCTCCCGGCCACATCGCACAGTAGTTCTTTCTTCACTATGGCCTTGTCGGTCAAAGCAGACATGATGCTGGCTGCCCCGGCTCCTGCAAATTCACCTGGGGATCCACAAAGAATAGAGGAGTTGTTTCTGGACAGGGCCACAGGGATTGGGTGCTAGCCCACAGCTGGGCATCCAGGCTTAGCACCATCCACAAGGGACGAGCAAGACGAAAACAGGTGAGGCTTTAGAAAAGGTTCTTGTGGTCTCTGAACCCTTTTCAAGATGGAGACGAGTAAAGGGCCATGATTTATTGGGATGTTTTAGTGGTAGCCATGATAGTGAGGGTGGAAGTCAGTTGAGGGATGAGACAGGGTCTCACTCTGTAATCCAGGCTCGTCTAACCTGGAAATTACTATGTAGTCCAACCTGGTGTCAAACTCTCAACTGCTTCTTGCCTCTGCAGTCCATATGCTGGGATGACGGACATGCACCATCACCCCTGGCTACTGGGATGATGGACATGCATCACAATCCCTGGCTACTGGAGTGTTTCTTTAATCAGAAGAAGCTGGTCTTCTATGCTGTAACCACTACTTGATTCTGCAAATATGTGCCAGGAGCTCCCTCATCTTTCTGGGAAAAGAGCATGTAACCTATTGATTCCATCTGAGCTACAATTCCTCGACCTCGCCAGGCTGATGGCCTCAGGAAAAGAGGCTGGTCTTCCAGCGTTCCACCCTTCCAGGGGGGGAAAAAAAGAGATCAAAACTCTCTAGCTGTTCCCCAAAAGAGACCCAGAGGATGTGGTAGCAGCCCTGGCCATGGTATACAGGTGAGAAGAGACAGTAATGGAGTGACTAGAAGAGGAGGAACTTGGGTTCTGTAGGACCAGGCTGGGGCAGTGAGGGTCAGCTGACAGAGCACACAGCCAGGGTCTCCTAACCCAAGGACCCATACCATAGGCATGCACTGGGTATGATGGCTAGAAAGGAGCTATACACTGAAGAAGTAGACCCAGGAGCCCATGGAGCATCACAAGGCTGGTTCCCTGTCAGGAGCAGGGCCCCCTGGGTGAAGCAACAGCACCCCAGTAAGCAGGACAGGACCAGTCTTTAAATGCGACAGACAGTAGGAGAGCATCAGGCAAAGGCAGGAAGGGAAAGGGCAGAGGCCACGTGATCCTTCTTCCACGGAGCCACAGAACAGGCTGAACTCTTCTGATACATCAAACACTTGAACCAGGCATGGTGGTACACTCCCTTAATCCCAAAACTCACGAGACAGGCAGACAGATCTTTGTGAGTTCAAGGGCAGTCTAGTCTACACAAATGATGGACCAGCCTGACTCCATCTTAAGATTAGAAGCTATCTTGTTACAAGGTCAAAATAAGTTCATTCCTGTTTTCTGTAAAACTTGGGTTTGACCATGTATTGACCCATTTTTTTGGAACCTGACATGTTCTACACCCTCCACCCTGAGAAGATAAGATGTTCTACCAAATAATTCTAAAATGTTCAGCTACGTTTCTTCATAACCAAAATTCCTCTTGAAATCTCCCAACCCTTAAAAATCTACTAGCCTTGTAGGTTTGGGGAGCTATATAAAATACCCCACTATCTCCTGTGTTCGATGCTATTTTCTCAAACTCCACTTTAGGGAGACAGCCCTATCTGACAGAAAATAAAGCTTGCTTAATTTGACCAAAGAATTTGTGTATGGTCTTTACTCTCATTCAGTGGGATTAACATGAGGAGTTCCAGACCACCTAGGATGGCATAGTGAGACCCTGACTTTTGTTTTGTCTTGAAACAGGATCCATGAAGTCCTGCCTTTCCTGGAACACTCTATGTAGAACAGGCCTTGAACTCAGAGATTTGTTGTTTTAACTTTGGCACAGTAACTGTGCCTTAATCTACTGCTATTTCCACAGCTACTTGCCTGTTTCTCTGGCAGGCTGTACCCCAGTGGGAATTCTGTTCCTGCAGGCACCAGCTCTGCCGCTGCCACTAAAGGTAGTTTTAACTAAATCTCTATCATTCTATTTATCAAAAGACTTGAGATTCAAAGGCTGGGGTGAAAACCTGCTGGCTCAGAGAGGTTGGGTAGCACCTAGCTGACCTTCTCTCCTTGCTGGCGTCTCCAAAGAGCTCATCCTTCTGCTCCACCACACAAGCCACGCCACTCCAAATCCTTCCCAACTCCTTCCAGTGCGTCTGTCTCTTCCAGGTGCTTTCTGATGCTCTAGGATTACTTTCTATCAACTAGTTGCTAACTCGGCCTCCTGACCCAAGGTTAATTTTATTTAATTAACACAAATACAAACTCAGGGTTCAGTGTGATTGAATATTCCCCAGCAGAGATCTACCTGCCTCTGCCTCCTGAGGGCTGGTATTAGAGGAGTGCACCACTGTGTCCACTCAGCCATGAGACCCTGCCTTTAAAAAAATGAAAAATTGAAAACAGCTATGTATGACTGTCTGCAACAGACCTGACGTTAGACGGATCCTGTCAACAGTCACACATGGATTAGGGAAGGACTCACAGGTCTCTACCCTCCCTGTTGAACTATTGGCTATTGGTAGATCTAGGGGCAGGGCAGGCATTGTCTTCTGTTGTATACCTACTGATGAACCCACCAGGCTCCATCAGAGAGTTTCAAACCCAGCATCACACAGAGGACCCTGGTTAAACCAATGGGTCTCAAGAAAAAAAAGACATAAATGTGGGAAAGGGATTTGTAGGGGGATGTGATAAGGGTGGGACTAGAGAGGGTAGGATGATAGCAGTCAGGATGCACTTTATACGTGATGAAACTGTCCAAGAACAAATTCAATTTAAAAAAATTATAAAGAAAGAAAATTAAGCAGAGTCATGCCTGGATGCACACCTCAGCCTCTCTACAAAGACCCCCTGTGTAAGTGTTCCAGCTCTGAAGGGGAAAAGTATCCTGGCAGTTGGGAGCCAAGGAATACCACAAAATCACAACGCACCACAAACCTCACACAAGAGATTTGTTGAGAAGGAAAAATCCAGGAGGGTGTCTGCCTCTTCTCCTGCAAGAAGCAGCAGAAAACTTAACAGAAGACAGGGTTTCTTGGGGGATGGAGCTTTCCAGGGTGGAGATTTCCAGGGTGGGGATTGGTGGGGAGTGGACTTTTTGCTCTGTATGGCAGAGCTTGGCAGCCTGAGCCTTCACAGCCCCTAGAGTGTTCTGTGGGCAGAGCCTGGCAGTTGGAGGTCCTCAGAGGCAGGGTCTGGCTATTCACAGGCCTTGAGGGGCTTACACCCTGGGGCCTAAGGAATAAAGCTCAGAAACCATCCTGGCACATCGGACTGCCTTCGCATAAACTTAGAGACAAATGGCTAAGCAAGGAGAATCCAGGGGCTACCTGTTGCCCATAGCTCCACATATCTTTTCCCAGTCCCTAGGCCCAGCACAATGAAGACCCGGTGTTCTTACTTGGGGGAGCCAAGTGGATCACATATCCATCACCGACATAGATGGCCCAGTGTCTGTACAGAGGACGGAAAATCTCAATCAGGTCTCCAGGCTTTGGTTCTGTCTGCAAAACCAAGAACAGGACTATTAGCAATGGCATGAACCCTTGAGACCTGGGCAGGCTGGGTTGAGAAAGTGTAGCCCCTTAGTCCCACCAGTCAGCTCCAGTAGGTAGGCTCATGTGGATGCAGGCCCTGCAGGTCTGATGCTGGCTTACCTCACAAGGCCATGATCCAGGCCTGCAAGAAAGATGCCATCCCCCACCCCCGCTCCCATATGCCATGATTAAAAACTGCAAAATGGGGGCTAGAAAGATGTCTCAACAGTTATGACTGCTTACTGCTCTTGCAGAGGACCTGGATTAGGTTCCCAGCACATGGTGACTCACAACCATCTGCAACTCCAGTTGCCTGGGGATCCTATGCTCTCTTCTGACCTCCACAGGTACTGCATGAAGGTGGTACACATGCATACATGCATGTAAAACACTAATGCACATGAAATAAAATAGAAATAAAAAAGAAACCTATAAAATGAACAATACTGTAAACCTGGTCAAAAGTAAATGACTCAAGAAGGCCATAGGCTCTAGCAGGGGACCTACTGCTGTTGTTTTGATAAATGGACACACTGTCAAACTTCCGTCCAAATACTTGTGTTTGTGCACATAGATAGAAGCTTCTTCTGCAGTGGGCAAAAGTCAATGCAGAGACTCATAACTTAAAATGCTAAGAGGAAGCAGCTATTGAGTGCTCAGCCCTAATGGGACATCTATGTCATCACCAACCCACCCACCCTAGGTTCAGGGAATGTGGCAGAAGATGGACATGACATGGCCATAGCACTCAGGATCACTGTAGCTGTGGTCACTTCACAAGAGCAAGGGGACAAGACCAGTCAGGATTCCAGCAGGCAACACTAATTGTTTTAGTGGGTTACCAGAGACAGAGAGAAAGAACATGAAGGTGAGAAGGAGTCATGTTGGGGGAATGTCCAGGGGAAGTTGGAGGCAGATATGATCAAGATACATTGTACACGTGCATGCAATTATTAAAGAACAAATAAAGACATTCCTTAAAAACTGCAAACCTAAAAAGGTCTCTTCATTAGCTTTGCCTTTTTAGTGCTCTTGCTACAAATATTACTGAGCTCCTTTCTGCTCAAGGTGCTGAGGCAGGATTATCAAGAATTCCAGGCTAGGGTAAAGAAATGGCTCAGCAGTTAAGAACACTGACTGCTCTTCCAGAGAATCCAGATTCAATTCCCAGCACCAACAAGGTGGCTTACAACTGTCTAAAAACTCCAGTCCAGGGAGATCTAATGCCCTTTTCTGCCCTCCCTCAGGCACTAGGCACCCATATGGTACGCAACATACATGCAGACAAAACACCCATATGCACAAAATAAGTAAATAATTTTTAAATGACTTCTATGCTAGCCTGGGCCATATAATTAAACCCTGTCTCAAACTTCCTTCTTCATGCCCCTCCCCACTCCCCCCCAAAAAAACTTATTACAATGACAAAAAAGCATTTAAAATGTAACAGTCCAGCCTGCAAAATATTTAGTTATTTACAAAATAATAAGTAGAAGGTCATACCCCCAAAGTTATGCACTATGCAATTTTCTTTATATGACATTCCAAAGTAGGCATAAATATAGGACAAAAAACTGATCAGCAATCTGAGGGGCTGGGGTGAGGAGAGGCACCACAAGAAAGGAATATGGGGGATATTAGGGTCATTAAACTGTGCTGTTCTGCAGTTTTTCTGACTGTTTTAGTTTCCTCCTTGTATACAATGTAATCACATTTCCCACCCCCACTATCCTCTCTTATCCTCTCCTCTTTCCAGATGACCCCCTTTATTGCCCCAGCTAGTCGTTTCCTATTTTCTATATATATTTTTTAAATTTATTTTTATGTATACAAATGCTTTGTCTGCATGTATGCCCGCAGACCAGAAGAGAACATCAGACTGTGAGCTGCCATGTGGGTGCTGGGAATTGAATTCAGAACCTCTGAAAGAACAGCCAGCGCTCTTAACCACTGAGCCATCTCTCCAGCCCTGTCATTTCTTATTTTCATGTCTTCATTTGTGCAGGTCTCATGCATGGGCTCACAGCTGCTGTATGTTCATGACATGCATGACTCGGTGGTCATGTCATATTCAGAAGACATTGCTCCTAAGCACTCTTCACCATCCTCTGGCTTTTGCAGTCTTTCCGCCCCTTCTTCCACTATAGCCTCTGGTCCTTGGAGTGAGTGATGTAGATATCTCATTAGGACTGAGCACTCAACAGCCCTTATCCTCAGCACTTAGCCCAGTTAAGAATCTCTTCTTTGACTGTCACCCAATGACTTAAGGCTGTGAGTGTATCTGTTCTGTACCTCGATTAGGGCAATGGTTCACTTGTATATGTTTATCAGAATGGAACTATATACTTTAAAAGGTAAATTATATATTAATTTCGGGGTTTGGTTTGGTTTGGTTTTTTTTTTTTTTTTTTTTTTTTGTTTTTTTGTTTTTTCGAGACAGGGTTTCTCTGTGTAGCTTTGCGCCTTTTCTGGGACTCACTTGGTAGCCCAGGCTGGCCTCGAACTCACAGAGATCCGCCTGGCTCTGCCTCCCGAGTGCTGGGATTAAAGGCGTGCGCCACCACCGCCCGGCTGGTTTGGTTTTTGAGGCAGGGTCTCACTTAGCCCAGGCTGGCCTAGAACTTGCTATATAGCTGAGGACAACCTGTTCTGGTTTCCTACACCCACCTCCCAAGCGTTAGAATTTCTGGTGTGCCTCACCACAGCCTGCCCTCTTTATACTTTTAGCTGAAGTTATGTCTTTCCCATATTATTATCTGGTTAAATTACACATTAATTTTTAAAAATAAAAATTAGCTGAGTGTAGTGCTACACACCTTTTTTAAAATTTATTTATTATTCTTTTATGTGCATTGGTGTTTTGCCTGCATGTTTGTCTGTGTGAGGGTGTCAGATGTCTGTGTGAGGGTGTCAGATCTTGGAGTTAAAGACAGTTGTGAGCTGCCATGTGGGTGCTGGGAACTGAACCCCAGGCCTCTGGAAGAACAGTCAGTGCTCTTAACTGCTGAGCCATCTCTTCAGCCCAAGTATTTTACGTTTTTTAGGATTTAGTTTTTTGCCGGCCAGTGGAGGCAACACACCTTTAATCCCAGCACTCAGGAGTCAGAGGCAGACGGATCTCTGTGAGTTCCAGGCCAGCCTGGTCTACATATCGAGCTCCAGGCCAGCCAGGACTACATGATGAGACCCTGTTCCAAAAGCAAAACAAAACAAAAGAAGAAGTAATAATGAAGACCGAGAGAGGGCTCAGTGGTTTAGACTGGTTAAGGTGACTGGTTAAGGTGACCAGATAACTCTTGCAGATAACCCAGTTTCAGTTCCCAGCACCCACATCAGGCAGCTCACAGTTGCCTGTAACTCCAGCTCTAGGATCTGACACTGTGTTCCGGACTCTACAGGCCCTGATCTGCAAGTTCACATGGTTTTGTATGCTTTGTAAATATCTCTTCTCTCTCTGCAACGGCAGGGTTGAGGGGTTGCAACAGAGAATGTGTAGCCTGCTGATCCTGAAGTGTTGGGGCTGGGCGACAACTCAGTAAGCCAAGTGCTTGTTTTGCTTGATATCCATTTGAGCCCTAGAATTCACACAGAAAGTCAGACATGGTGATGTGTGTTTACAATCCCAGCACTGGGGAGGAGACATGGAGACAGGTGAATCTCTTGGGGTTGCTGTCCAAGCAATCGAGCCTAATGGCAGCCCACTCCAGGCCAATGAGGAGTGCTGTCTTAAAAAAAAAAAAAAAAAAAAAAAAAAAAAAGATATGGCCGGGCGGTGGCGCATGCCTTTAATCCCAGCACTCGGGAGGCAGAGGCAGGTGGATCTCTGTGAGTTCGAGGCCAGCCTGGTCTACAGCGCGAGATCCAGGAAAGGCGCAAAGCTACAGAGAGAAACCCTGTCTCAAAAAAACAAAAAACAAAAACAAAAACAAGACACAGAATGTCTTAGTTAGGTTTTTTTGTTTTGTTTTGTTTTTTTTTTAATTGCTATGAAGAGACACCATGACCACAGCAACTCTTACAAAGAAAACATTTAATTGAGGTGGCGGCTTACAGTTTCAGAGGTTCGGTCCATTATCATCATGACAGGGGCCATGGCGGTGTGCAGGCATATATGGTACTGGTTACATCTTGACCAGAAAGCAGCAGGAAGTTGACTAACTGTCACACTGAGTGAAGCTTGAGAAAAGACCTCAAAGCCCATCCCCACAGTGACACACTTCCTCCAACAAGACTACACCTACTCCACAAGGCCAGAACTCCTAATAGTGCCACTCCCTTTGGGGGCTATTTTCTTTCAACCCACCGTACTGAAGGAACAATAGCCATGGTTATTGTTGTGGAGTTCAGTGAAGTGGCTTTTTTGGTTTTTTGGTTTTTGGGGGGGGTTGTTTTGTTTTGTTTTTTTGAGGCAGAGTTTCTCTGTGTAGCTTTGGAGCCTGTCCTGGAACTCGCTCTGTAGACCAGGCTGGCCTCGAACTCACAGAGATCCACCTGCCTCTGCCTCGCGAATGCTGGGATTAAAGGCATGCACCACCACCACCCGGCCTTAAAGATAGGATTTTTTTTTTTATATGCATTGGTGTTTTGCCTGCATGAGAGTGTTGGGTACCCTGAAACTGGCGTTACAGACAGTTGGGAGCTGTCATGTGGCTGCTGGGAATTGAACCCAGGTCCTGTGGAAGAACAGCCAGTGCTCTTAACCACTGAGCCATCTCTCCAGCCCCTCTACGAAGTTTTTAAAGGCACAAACCACAATTGTCTCAACATGAGGCATTATCATGTTTTGGTTTGGTTTGTTTTTTCTGCGTGAGCAGCAGCTAAGGGAGATTACAGAAGCAGAATGAGAAGTTGAGCAATGTTTTAGGATAATAATTACACAATAAGGGGAAGGGAGGACAATTTTGGGAAATGAACCAGGTGGCTCTGAGATCAGTCTCCTCTTAGGTTGCTGTCAAGATTCAACTGCT